GAAAATGCAATCAATCATTTCAATTGTGATCATGTGTGAAAAATGAGGGGTGATTCATTTTGGAAGGTCGAATTTGAATGCAGAATACCCGCTTTTGACAGGATTCTCAGCAGTGTGCAGGAACAGAGGGATCTTGGTGTCCACGTCCATGGATGCTATCCAAGTTGATAGGGTTATAAAGAAGGCATACGGTGTGTTGGATTTCATTGGCAGGGGAATTGAGTTTAAGAGCCGTGAGGTATGATGTAGCTCTATATAACTCAGGTTAGACCACACCTGGAATATTGTGTTCAGTTATGATCAACTCATTGTAGGAAAGATGTGGAAGCTTTAGAGAGGGTGCAGAGGAGATTTCCCAGGATTCTGCCTGGACTGGAGGGCAGGTCTTATGAAGAATGGTTGAGGGAGCGAGGGCTTTTTTCATTGGAGCGAAGAAGGATGAGAGCTGACTTGATAGAGGTGTACAAGACGATAAGAGACATGGATATAGTAGATAGTCAGAGACTTTTTCCCGGGCGAAATGACTATTATGAGGGGGCATAATTTTATGGTGATTGGAACAAGTTATAGGGGAGAAGTCAGAGGTAGGTTATTTACGCAGAGAGTGGTGGGCGTTTGAAATGCACTGCCGGCAGTATTACTGGAGTCAGACACTTTCGAGAATTGTAAGCGACTCTTGTATCGGCACATGGAGGATAGCAAAATGTAGGGTATGCAGAGTAGATTGATCTTAGTCAGATGCTGGATCGGCACAACATCATGGGCCGAAGGGCCTGTACTGTGCTGTACTGTTCTATGTTCCATGTTCTCTGTCATGACCCTTCTCGGCTTTATTGCAACGATATGTATGTCAAGATAAAAACTTCCCGTTTTTATTTTAATTCAATTATCTACCTGATTTGACTCGTCAATATCACCAGGCTTGATAGTTAATCCTCCCCTTTGGGATTTTTACACACTTGGTAAACTCCAAGCATGTCAAACTTTTAGGTAACTATCCATATATCTGTTGCTCCTACTCTAAAGAAGTACAACATTTCGTTTTATTATAATTGTTTGTTACCAGGTACTATAAGCGGTGTAGACACAATGTACTGAAGGACAGACACAATGTACTGAAGGCATTCATCTGTACTGTTAGGACTTCTGTGATTGTTCATGTTTATTTTCATATTAATTCCTCAATTTCACTTGCAATTCTATGTACTGTGTAACTGAGACTCGTGATAAAGATTACATTACTGAACATTCAATCTGTATGTGTTGTTTCGATAACGAAAGGAGTCAGAATGAAACCAGTGTCGTATAGAAAAGATAGTTCTGGGATAGTAGGAACTGCAGATGCTGGAGAATCTGAGACAACAAGGTTAACAAGGGTCTTTTTTCTGAAGAAGGGTCGAGGCCCGAAACGTCAGCCTTCCTGCTCCTCTGATGCTGCTTGGCCTGCTGTATTCATCCAGCTCTACACCTTGTTATCTCTGAAACATAGTTCTGTTTGTATTTACTAACAAATGTCAGAAATAATCTGTCAGGAATGAAGGGCAGTGGGAATGATCAAACTGCAATTTTTCCTCGCTCTAAAACAAACTGGGATTCATTCCCTATGATCGCTTCCTTCACACGAGGTCAGAGATTTAACAAATACTCAGGCTCATTCAGTTCACTGATCATTGAAATTGATGGGAGGCCATACTTATCCAGTAACGACTCACTATGAAGGAGCAAATATATACCTGGTCCATGTTCCTGATCCGTCTTCTTGCCAGAGGGCATATTCTCAATTTCTTCATAAATTCCTTGGTACAAACCAAGACTTGAGCCTCTGTCACCAGTGCAAAGATCTGTTGAAGGAAGGATAGACAGGTTAGCATTTGCAGCTGAACACTCGCAGCAATACTGAGTTTATTTCTGAAGCAGCATTAGTGTGAAGCTCTTACAGTTCATGCAAGGCAGCAAGAAGGCAATGGCTGATCAGTGAGGGCAGCATGCGTGTAGAAAATCAAGTGAACACGTCATGATTAATCGTCATGTCTTATCACTTTGTGGAAATTATTCTGTTAAACATAGAGACTAAGATGTTGTTGGTTTGGAAGTATTCTGTCAGTTCTGTTCGAATTAGGAATCGCCACCTCCAGATGCAGATGTTTATGCGAAGAAAAAGTGATGAGCTGATAATGCTGTACGAGACTGTAAATGTCAGTGGCCATAGAAGTTGCTTAAGACATGGAAAAATGGTAAATATCTTTAATTTATGAACGATAAATAGACAAAAAACCTTGACGACTGTGGGATGGTTACAAATCAATAGTCAGGATATAGGTGTCGGCCAAAAAAATGCTCAGATAACAGAAAATTTGTTAGTATTTTAAGGGTCCAGATCGAAAACGTCAGCTTTCCTGCTCCTCTGATGCTGCTTGGCCTGCTGTGTTCATCCAGCTCTTGTTATCTCAGATTCTCCAGCATCAGCAGTTCCTACCATCTGTCAACATTTGAATGCTGTGATAACACAAATGTATAATTGTTGCCATTAGTTGGAAATAATAACGTGAGACAAATGAATTAAGGAGAACATCATTCTTCAGAGTCTAGGCCCGGAACGTCAGCCTTCCTGCTCCTCTGATGCTGCTTGGCCTGCTGTGTTCATCCAGCTCTACACCTTGTTATCTCTGTATACTTTTGACTGCTGTGTATAAGTTAAACTTAAGACAAAGTGAAAAGTGTAGAAAATGATGATTATTCGTGTTGATCGTCTTTGCCCTCAGGTGGAAAATCATTCCCAGGCAAATGTTTTTCAACCAGTGTAAAGTGTAAAGATGTTTTAATTGGCGAGTCAAGGGAAATCAGTTGTTGGATGACTGAAAGTAAATATAAAAAGACGCTTAATACTTTCACTGGTCATAGGTTCTGGCATCAGCACCCAGAACCGGAATAAGTGTTAAGGAAAACTAACTGTGAATAAACAATTACAGGAAGTGAGCGGACCTCTCAATGAAATTTAAAGACATGTTGCTACTAGCAACAACTTGTTCGGGAGTTTTGTCTTCAAGTTAACAAAAGATAAATATTCAGTCTTTACATTTACTTCCCATTGAAAATAATTTGGTATAACACCGCATCAAACGTTAATTCTGTTTCGATCCACAGGTACTGAGGGATTTGATGAATATTTGACCCAATTTCCATCTTCTTTTAGCTCCAAAAAGTTCTTATTAACGTCTTGTATCCTTGCCTCAAATTTATATCTGGCGTTTCAATGGGTAAAACCCCTTGAAAAAATCAAATAGCCAGAAACGACCTCACATTCGTCACCGTTTAGAATAACTGATGGAAAAGTGCAACAACAATCTACAGCTCCGATACCATAAGGAACAAGAAAACTGACTGAGTGCTGACTCATTCGGTAAGTGTGAGGCTCACCTTTCATTTGCAATTTTCTCCACATTACCACGAGTAGTGCGATCAAGTCAAGGATTAACAGAGCTCCTAACGTTAAGCAGACGACAACAGGTATGGAAATGGATTCACTTTCCAGTCCTTAAAGAAGAGATTATAGAGAATTTTATCTTAGTTACAAGCTGCCTTGTATAATTGCAAAGAATTCATCAATGATTACACACCGACATAAACTTCAAATTCGTGAAAATGTCAGCAGCATTAATGTCATTAATCAGGAACATAACGCTAACACAAACATTTAAAATAGTATCATTATAAATACCCGCAGGTGGAGGTGAAGGAGAAGTCGGCATCAAAGAGGATCCTGTGGAAGAGATTGCACAAATATTCATGAAGGTGAAATTCAATACCAGAAGACAAATGTCGGCACTAATTTGTGACATTGATCATCAATGGTCAGAATCGTCCTTACCAGAACAGGTCACACTGGCAATTTCCTTGTGATTACATTCCCTTTGTGCTGGTGCTGGGGAGAGACACTCGGCAAGAGAGGATTCACTTCCCTTGCACTTCACATCATTCTGCCAGATCACACCTTTACCCCGGGAGACAGCGCGCCTTCCTTGGGCCGATAGAGCGAAGCCACATCTCAGCTGTCTGCAGACAACATTGGCATCAGTTATATCCCAGGAATCCCTGCACAATGTGCCCCAGCGTTCATTGCACATGATCTCCACTCTCCCTGAGCAGCTGTTGCTGCCTCCATCCAGGCGCACGGTATGTTGCGAATCTGTGGCACAGAACAGGTTACTATTAAATGCAGTACAAAGCAGCAATACTATTGCGATAGTTGGCACCTTCACGATGAGGACGTACCTGATTGTTGATGGCAGGAATTTGATTTGAGGAGCTGAT